TATTTATTTGTAGCCTCCAAACACCTTTAGTTTTAGCAAACAACAGCAGGACACGCTTTGTCGCTGCGCATGATGTGAGCTGTGTTACGTGATGATTTTGATTGACGCTGCAATGACTGGGACAAAGTTACTAACGTTATTAAAATATATTATAGTCTCCAAACACAATTTAACAAGTAGTCCTTTTGAATCAAATCAAATGCTAAATAAATATTTAAGGGCTTTATATTTGCTCAAAAAAAACAAAACTTTTTTTTTTGTTTGTGTGGAAATCATCTTGCAACCCCCCCAGGGGTTCCCGCGACCCCCCGGGGGGTCGGGACCCCCACTTTGGGAACCACTGGTCTAACCTACTGGAGACAAATGCATGGATAAGAATCTCCAGGTCTGCTTTAGACACTATGTTTTTGATCCTGGCAATGTTTTTTAGATGGTAAAAAGCTGCTGATGTTACTGATTTGATGTGGCTATTAAAATTTAAGTCTGAGTCCAGTATTACCCCTAGATTTCTGACCTTGTTTGAAGGTTTTAGGGAGAGAGACTGTAGATGACAGATGACGCTCTCTCTTTGTTTCTGGGGACCAAAGACAATCATTTCAGTTTTGTCTGCGTTTAGCTGAAGGAAGTTGTTTTGCATCCACTCACTGATCTGTTGGATACAGTGAAGGAGTGAGTCCACTGCATCAGTCCTATATCTCTTTATGACGTTTCAGGGATCAACCTTTTGTCTTTTGTCTGCATAAATAACACACAATGCTTTTCTCGACAGAAAGACTCTTTGTTTTTATCTTATTAAAACATGTTTTTAAACATGTGACAAAGAGCTCTGGGACTCTTTGAGCTGAGAGCTGATTGGCTGAGTGAGGCTGGTCCTCTCTTTCTCACTTTTCTGTGTGAAAAAGCTGATCTAAAGATGTGACAGAGTTAGCATGTGGAAACTAGTGACAGAAGATATGAAGTTATATGATCAATGACGTCATGGAGCAGTCTGCTTACGTTTTGCTGGAAACAATAAAACTACAGTGCATTTAGGCACTTTATTCATTCAGTTTCTTTGAAAATGGCAAACACACACAGGACCAGCTTCTACTACAGTAAGGTTGGTTTTATTATTGATATTCTACACACAAAACATCTATTTATTTATTATAAACTGTGTGTGTGTTTTCACAGCGCACGGACAGGTTAGAATGGATTAAATCATTTGTACATAACGTTTAAAACAAACAGTGTGTGAATGAAAAGAATGAATCCATTTGAGGCTTTGAACTCTGAAGAGGAAGTGCTGTGTGCATTTGTAATGTCATTGTTATTTTGACTCTGAATTATCACAGGAGAAGCAACTGGCAGAGACACAAACACATAGACACGGTTGCCACGGCAACTGTTACCATAGCGACGGTTGCCACGGCAACTGTTACCATAGCGACGGTTGCCATGGCAGGCTTAAACTTTCCCCATTCACTACCGTTGAAATGGTTTAACTTTGTTTAGGTAAACTATTCTCCGAGACAGATGTAAGTACAAGACTTTAGACTCTTTATTGTCCACTAACAGACTGTAGCTTTGAGTCACGTGGGCCTCGGGGATTCCAGCTTTAACTTTGTTTGTGCCAAGATCTGAGTGATTCTGTGTCGGTGCTAATGCTAATGCTAATGCTAATGCTAATGCTAATGCTAATGCTAATGCTAGTCGTTAGCCTGACGTGTGTCCTCTCCACTTACCGTTTTCTCTCAGCTGTAGACATTCATTCACGTGATAAAGAGTTTGTAAAGGACGTGTCTGAGGTTTATGTGTAGACAATGTCCCTGGTTGGACTTTTCTACTCGCTTTAAAAACGACACAGAGACAAATGAATACAATAATGAAAGGTCCAGTGTATTATTCTCACGCTCTCACTATTTAAACACTGTTATTTAGCCACAAATGCAGCTGTTCACCAATATCTTTAGTGTTTCCTTAAAATGTAATTTGCATTAAACATAACATATTTTATTAATTATTATTATTATTGTCACTAGTTTCACATCATGATTCATGTGTGTTTGACCTCTGTCACATCTGTAGATCAGCTTTTTCAGACAGAAAAGTGACAAAGAGAGGACCACCCTCACTCAGCCAATCAGCTCTCAGCCCATAGAGTCCAATAGTGACTCACAGGGACCTTACACATATGCACTAGATCAGGGGTGCTCAATACGTCGATCGCGATCTACCAGTCGATCGCAAAGGTAGTATTGGTAGATCGCATTAAATAAATAAAAAATTACACATTCTAAACTAATATATACAAAAAACTCCGGGCAAAGTGGAGATTTTTGAAAACTCCGTTAATGCATTTGTGTGTAGACAGAGATAATCGGAGTTTTGCGTTCTCGCACGCCACAGTACCCCCCTAAATTCCTCTGATCACTGAAGCATGGATCATACTACCTTAAAAACTGTTCGCTGTGAGATGCTCGCAGCAGCGAACATCCTCCACATCAGAGAGCAGCAAAGTGATCGCAGGGACTCACGCTCAAAAACAACCAAACCAGGACTAAACCCGGACTAAACCAGGACTAAACCAGGGCTGAGGACGGGGTCAGTGCTTGTAAACATACGTCTTTACTCTGAGTGTCTTCTATGACTGTAAAAGTGCCGTTACCGGCGTCTGCATCAAAGCTCCGCCCACTTCTGTGTTTTTCCCCAACGCAGGACAGGACGTAAGACACGCACATGTTTGGAATGTGATTGATAACGCAGATGTGTGGATGCAAATTATTTTATAAACGGAGGAGGGGAAATATTTGGATTTAAATAAACCAGGCATGGCACATGGACATGGCACCACAGTCAAATGACATCTGTGTTTTACTCAGTAATGTTTTACTGACACTTAGGTGACTGCACATGCGCAAACAACCGCGCTCAGTGCAGGAAAGCTAAACCACGACAAACTTGTCAGCGAGTTACCACCAATTTTCCGGACTATGCATCCCTGGCCGATTCAATTCAGTGCAAGTCATAAGAGTAAACTCGGGTAATGACAAAAAATGTACATAGATAATTGTGTTGTGTTGTGCTATATTGGCTCATGCGGTTTTGCATGTACATAAACATATATTGTAGGTATAAAGAATATTTTTTAAAATAAATATATGATTTGCATTTTTGTAGTAGGTAGATCATTTTGACTTGATCCTTTTATAAGTAGCTCGCATGCTGAAAAAGTGTGAGCACCCCTGCACTAGATGTTTTCTCAGTGGATAAAGACATTTATATGATTTTACGTTTACACAACATGGATTATTCATGAGGAAATAAAAGTGAAGGAAGGTTAAGTAAAAGCACACATTACATTTTTAAGAGAGATTCTAGATCTGGTTTTTATTTAGTGAAACTGAAAGTTGTGTTGAACTGAAATCATGATCTTTGTCAGAGCAGGACGTACAACATGCATTTATAAAAGTTAGGTACAGCAGCTTTAAGACGTACACAGAGAGGACCATGTTATCCTCTCACAGCACGACTCCTGCTTCAGTCCAGAGGCTCTGCTCTCTGCTCTGTGCTCTCTGCTCTGTGTTCTCTGTGGTCTGTCCTGACACACTCTGGGCTCAGGTCTCTGTCCCTCCACTCTCTCTCTATCTCACCTTCTCTATCTCTCCACCTCTTTCCCTCGTCTCCCTGTCCCTCTCACCCCTCCCTCTATCACCCCCTTTCTCTGTCTCTCCCCCCCTCTCTCATCTCTCTCTCTCCTCTTTCTGTTCTCTCTCATCTCTCTCTCTCCTCTTTCTGTCTCTCTCTCTCTCTCTCTCTCTCTCTCTCTCTCTCTCTCTCTCTCTCCTCTGAGTCCGGCCTGAAGCAGGGTTGTTCTCCTGACTTTGGGCTCACTTTTTCTTATTCTTTTTATATCTTCTTATTTCGTGAAAGTAAACCTATACTTTATTATTTATATTATATTAATGTTTCCACAACTTTAATATTGTTTTTTTTTGTAATTCTTTTTCAAAATTAGGAAATGTAATGGAAAGCTGCGGTTTTTCGTCCAAATACATGGCACTGTAGCAAAAATACACCTGGGTCATATTTTGGGCTGAAGAAACTTTGTATTAATATATATTCATGACATGTCTTTGTTGTGTTTGTGGCAGATCTACAAAGTCCATCATCAGAATGGTGTTCACCTGTGACCAGTGTGGAAAGACCTGGAGCTGTGCTTCCAAACTAAAGAGTCACTACAGAACTCACACTGGAGAAAAACCATACGAGTGTGGTCTGTGTGGAACATGTTTTACTACAAAAGGAGGTCTCAAGATCCACAGCAGAATCCACACTGGAGAAAAGCCCTTCAGCTGTGACGTTTGTGATCAGAGTTTTAGACATGAGAGTACTCTCAAAGATCATCAGCGGATCCACACAGGAGAGAAACCATTTGAGTGTGACGAGTGTGGACAAACATTTAGGATCAAAGAGCTGCTCTCACTACATCAGCCTGTCCACACAGGAGAGAGACCTCACCAATGTGACCAGTGTGAGAAGACTTTTATACATTTATCTCACCTCACTAAGCACTACAGAATCCACACTGGAGCAAAGCCATTCGTCTGTGGAGACTGTGGGAAGAAGTTTTCTGTGCGTTCAAACTACAAAAGACATGAGAGAATCCACACTGGAGAGAAGCCGTCTGAGCATCTGGAACAAAGTGAAGGAGACAGAGCTGAGGCTGCATCGTGTGAACCCAGAGTCAGACTGTACAGGGTCACACTTCAGTCTTAACCCTGAGAAACTGGCAACCTGCACCAGACTCACTCTGCTTTCTGTCATGTTTATGTGATGAACTACACATTTTCCAGATCTATTGTCAACAGAAAGTTCATTGGATCTGAACATCTTGACTTGGTGTGTAGAGACTGGGATCCGTCATCAGTAAAACTCTCTGCTGTAAGTTTCTGCTGCAGTGTTTTCAGACTGAGGTCACATTTAAGACTCACACCATGAAGAGGACTTTAAAGCTCACATCAGTAAAGTCTGACCCAGTGCAGTAAGGCCTCATGTCCCGGGACAGACAGCTGTAAAGTCAGGCTGGTTTCCATGGTGATTACACTGGTGTGTTCTAATCCTCTGTTATTATTACGAGCCTGATCCGTGTGACCTGAGACTTTGTTCTTTAGCTCCTGCTGCAGAAACAGGAGCTGATGCCACAAAAACATGTTTCTGTTTCAAGGTGATTTTTGATGAATGAAATGTGGTTGATTCAGCTCCAAACAGACAGGTGTGTGTCCATGTGTCTGTGTGTGTGTGTCTGTGTGTGTGTGTGTCTGTGTGTCCATGTGTGAGTCTATGTGTGTGTCCATGTGTGTCCATGTGTGAGTCCATGTGTGTGTCCATGTGTCTGTCCGAACATTTCACTGCTCTTACATGTTCGTATAAGTTTGAAAGTGTCCTTTTACCCCCCCCCCCCCCACCCCCCACTCCCCACCACAAGTTTTACCACACACCACACACCCCATATACCCCCCCCCCCCCACCACACACACTTAAAATTAAATTTTATAATTTTTACCTTCTGCCGCCCCCCCCCCCCCCCCCCCCCCCACCCCCCCCCCCCCCTCCCCCCCCCCCCCCCCCCCCCCCCCCCCCCCCCCCCCCCCCCCCCCCCCCCCCCCCCCCCCCCCCCCCCCCCCCCCATTAAAAAATATTCCCCCCCCCCCCCCCCCCCCTAATATAACATAATTCCCCCGTAATAATTTTTACTACACACACAAAACCCCCCCCCCTTATCCCCCCCCCCCCCCACCCTCCCCCCCCCCCCCCCCCCCCCCCCCCCCCCCCCCCCCCCCCCCCCACCCCCCATCTTAATCCTATTGCTTCCCCCCCCCACACCCCCAACTGTATACTTTCACACCCACATTCGACCCCCATAGGTTTTGTATAATATTTAAGACTTTTTTGAAACCCCCCCCCCCCCCCCCACCCCCCCCCCCCCCTTAATACCCCAATCCCCCACCCCCCCCCATTACCTTAATTCTGTATAGAAACCCCCCCCCCCCCCCCCCCCCCCCCCCCCCCCCCCCCCCCCCCAATTTCCCCCCCCCCCCCCTTTTATTTTTTATCCCCCCCCTTTTCCCCCCCCCCCCCCCCCCCCCCCCCCCCCCCCCCCCACCCCCCCCCCCTTTTAGACACCCTCCCCCCCCCCCCCCCCCCCCCCCCCCCCCCCCCCCCCCCCCCCCCCCCCCCACCCCCCCCCCCACTCACACAACAACTTTATAAAATGTTTTGATCCCTTACTCCCCCCCACCCCCCCCCCTAAATTTTTACTAAATCAATTAATACCCCCCCCCCCCCCCACCCCCCCCCCCCCCCCCCCCCCCCACTATGAACCCCCCCCCCCCCCCCAAATTCAATCCCCCCCCACCCCCACCCCCCCCCCCCTATTCCCCCCCCCAACATCCCCCCCCCCCCCCATAATTCCCCCCAAACCCCCCCCCCCCCCCCCCCCCCCCCCCCCCCCCCCCCCCCCCCCCCCCCCCCCCCCCAAAACATAAATCCCCCCTTTATCCATATAATAAAAATCCCCCCCCCCCCCCCCCCCCCCCCCCCCCCCCCCCCCCCCCCCCCCCCCCCCCCCCCCCCCCCCCCAATTTCCTTTCCCCCCCCCCCCCCCCCCCCACACACCCCCAGTATATTTTATTAAATATATTTAATAAAAACCTCTTCTCCCCCCCCCCCCCCCCCCCCCGTAACCCCCCCCCCCCCCCCCCCCCATGCCCCCCCCCCCCCCCCCCCCCCCCCCCCCCCCCCCCCCCCCCCCCCCCCCCCCCCCCCCCCCCCCCCCCCCCCCCCCCCCTATTTACTAAGTCCCCCAAAAATTTTAAACATAACCCCCACCCCCCCCTAACCCCCCACCCCCCCCCCCCCCACTTACTAATTTTATTCAATATCCCCCCCCCCCCCCCCCCCCCCCCCCCCCACCCTCCCCCCCCCCCCCCCCCCCCCCCCCCCCCCCCCCCCCCCCCCCCCCCCCCCCCCCCCCCACCTCCCCCCCCCCCCCCCCCCCCCCCCAAAATACCCCCCCCCCCCCCCCCCCCCCCCCCCCAACCCCCCCACCCAACCCCCCCCCCCCCCCCCCCCCCCCCCCCCCCCCCCCCCCCCCCCCCCAAAATTTCCCTTTTTAATACCCCCCCCCCCCCCCCCCTACCCTCCGCATCCCTCATACTGCCAGAGATTTTGGACATTTTTAGTGTTTTTCCAAACCGCATGGAAATGTGAGCCCTTGGTTGACACAAGTATGAAACATACTGTCAGGGATGAAGCAGACAGACGGATCGTGGTGTGCCAAACTCTGGAAGTTTATTTAAGTTTCTCTCAAGTTCCAGTGGTTTTCATTGTTTCTTTCTCTCAGACAGAATGGAGTCAGTACACAGTTTATATAGTCATTGTTACGTCACACATCGAAAGACGTACGTGTCACACAGAGACAGTCACATAGTCAAAATAATCAGTCCTTGTAGAGTCCTGCACGTAGGCCATATTGCTAACACTCACCCCTTTGATCACATAATCACATGTGATCACTCAATTTGATCAATCAATAAAGTGAAAAAATAAAAATAAAAACTTTAAAAAATTATTAAACAAAGAATGTATGCATTAAACTCAATCATCAAAATCAATATCAGTGGATTTTATCCTCTATTCTGGGGAAAAAACAAAAACAAAAGTAAATAAACAAAAAAACAAAAACAAACAAACTCCCCCCTGGACTGCCACCTTAACGTGGTGGGGGAGTTTGAGTACTCTGGTGATCCTGGGAGCTATGCTGTCTGGGGCTTCATGCCCCTGGTAGGGTCTCCCATGGCAGACAGGTCTCAGGTGACGAGTCAGACGAAGAGCGGTCCAAAAACCACCATGGACAGCACTAAAATGAGACCAGTGACGTCGCCCGGCATGGCGCAGCCGGGGCCCCACCCTGGAGCCAGGCCTGGGGTCGGGGCTCGTATGCGAGCGCCTGGTGGCCGGGCTTTAGCCCACGGGGCCCGGCGGGAAATGCCAGTGACACTTGGAAAGGGGTGATCGGGAAGAACGGCCCCGCTGATCTGAACCCGAGCGGTGTTCAGTTGTTGGACCTCTGTGCCAGTCACGGTTTGTCCATCACAAACACCATGTTCGAGCACAAGGGTGTCCACCAGTGCACGTGGCACCAGGACACCCTAGGCCGGAGGTCGATGATCGACTTTGTTGTCGTATGTCTCGGACACTCGGGTAAAGAGAGGGGCGGAGATGTCAACCGATCATCACCTGGTCGTGAGTTGGATCCGCTGGCAGGGGAAGAAGCCGGTCAGACCTGGCAGACCCAAGCGTATAGTGAGGGTTTGCTGGGAACGTCCCGCTGAGCCCCCTGTCAGACGGATTTTCAACTCGCACCTCCGGGAGAGCTTCTCCCAGGTCCCGGCAGAGGAGGGGGATATTGAGTCTGAGTGGACCATGTTCTCTTCCTCTATCGCCGATGCGGCGGCTCGTAGCTGTGGTCACAAGGTCTCTGGTGCTGGTCCCGGTGGCAACCCCCGAACCCGGTGGTGGACACCGGCAGTAAGGGATGCCGTCAGGCTGAAGGAGTCCTATCGAGCCATGATGGTTCGGGGGACTCCTGAGGCAGCTGTCCAGTACCGGCAGGCCAAGCGTGCTGCGGCCCGGGCTGTTGCAGAGGCAAAAACCCGGGTCTGGGAGGAGTTCGGAGAGTCCATGGAGCATGACTATTGGTCGGCCTCGAAGAGATTCTGGCAAACCATCCGGCGCCTCAGGAGGGGGAAGCAGTGCTTTGCCAACACAGTTTATGGTGGGGGTGGAGAGCTGCTGACCTCAACTGGGGATATTGTCGGGCGGTGGAAGGAATACTTCGAGGTTCTCCTCAACCCCCCCGTCACGTCCTCCGCCCCGGAGGCAGAGGCTGAGGATGTTGGGGCGGATACTTCCATCTCCCTGGCAGAGGGCACCAAGGTGGTTGGCAGCCTCCATGGTGGCAAGGCGCCAGGAGTGGATGAGATCCGCCATGACTATCTAAAGTCTCTGGATGTTGTAGGACTGTCTTGGCTAACACGTCTCTGCAACATCGCGTGGCGATCAGGGGCGGTGCCAATGGAGTGGCAGACCGGGGTGGTGGTCCCTCTCTACAAGAAGGGGGACCGGAGGGTGTGTTCCAATTATCGTGGGATCACACTCCTCAGCCTCCCTGGCAAGGTTTACTCCAAGGTACTGGAGAGGAGGCTACGGCCGATGGTCGAATCTCGGATTCAGGAGGAGCAGTGTGGTTTTCGTCCCGGCCGCGGAACACTGGACCAGCTCTATACTCTCCATCGGATACTCGAGGGTTCATGGGAGTTCGCCCAACCTGTCCACATGTGCTTTGTGGATTTGGAGAAGGCGTTCGACCGTGTTCCCCGGGGTGTTCTTTGGGGGGTTCTCCGGGGGTACGGGGTCCGGGGTCCTCTGCTGAGGGCCGTTCGGTCCCTGTATGACCGGAGCCAGAGCTGTGTTCGCATTGCCGACAGTAAGTCAGACCTGTTCCCGGTGCATGTTGGCCTCCGCCAGGGCTGCCCTTTGTCACCGGTTCTGTTCACTGTATTCATGTGAATACTGAATACAGTCACTCTGGATGAACTGCAGATAACTACAGCTGAGGTGGGAGTCTGTCCATAGGACAACAATCAGTCGTGCACTGCACAAATCTGGCCTTTATGGAAGAGTGGCAAGAAGAAAGCCATTTCTCAAAGATATCCATAAAAAGTCTTGTTTAAAGTTTGCCACAAGCCACCTGGGAGACACACCAAACATGTGGAAGAAGGTGCTCTGGTCAGATGAAACCAAAATCAAACTTTTTGGCCACAATGCAAAACGATATGTTTGGCGTAAAAGCAACACAGCTCATCACCCTGAACACACCATCCCCACCTCCGCTGTAGTTATCTGCAGTTCATCCAGAGTGATCATGGGCCTCTTGGCTGCATCTCTGATCAGTCTTCTCCTTGTTTGAGATGAAAGTTTGGAGGGACGGCCGGGTCTTGGTAGATTTGCAGTGGTCTGATACTCCTTCCATTTCAATATAATTGCTTGCACAGTGCTCCTTGAGATGTTTAAAGCTTGGAAAATCTTTTTGTATCCAAATCCGGCTTTAAACTTCTCCACAACAGTATCTCGGACCTGCCTGGTGTGTTCCTTTGTCTTCATGGTTCTCTCTGCGCTTTAAACAGAACCCTGAGACTATCAAAGAGCAGGTGCATTTATACGGAGACTTGATTACACACAGGTGCATTCTATTTATCATCATCAGTCATTTAGGACAACATTGGATCATTCAAAGATCCTCACTGAACTTCTGGAGTGAGTTTGCTGCACTGAAAGTAAAGGGGCCGAATAATATTGCACGCCCCACTTTTCAGTTTATTTGTTAAAAAAGTTTAAATTATCCAACAAATTTCATTCCACTTCACGATTGTGTCCCACTTGTTGTTGATTCATGACAAAAAATAAAAATGTCATATCTTTATGTTTGAAGCCTGAAATGTGGCAAAATGTTGAAAGGTTCAAGGGGGCCGAATACTTTCGCAAGGCACTGTATTATCTTACTAATGATGACATTTTAAGACCAGAAACTCTCTTAATAAAAAAACAAGACTCAAATCTCAAAAAACCTTCAAACTTTAAAATATGTATTATGTACTGTGTGCTTAATTATCTATGCGTTCTTGGGTGTGGTAAAAATGAATTTGAAAAAACATTAAAACATAACTTGAAAACATGAAATCAAATCAAAAGATGAACTAAACTGGATTAATCACTTTATGGACTTTCCCTTTTACACTTGAACATTTATCTCAGTTTATATTCTACTAATTTAAAATAATTGCAGCCTTTTCAAATGAAGTCAATATGAATTGGAGCATATTTCAGAGTCTCCTCTGCTGTGGCATCAGCAGCAGGAGCAAGGTCAGGTGCATAGTCAAAACAAAAAAGTAACCACTTGCAATGTGAATTGGGTGAATTGTGTAGAGTTTAACTCAATATAATACTTTTACAGCTAATCCTAATTCCCTCTTTCTTTTTAGACGAAGTCTATGATCAATAATCACTTTTAACACCAATTCTAATTTAAATGTTTAAAAAACGGCTTTTGTAACTAAAATAAAAAACATAAAAACAAACACAACTCACAAACAGTTAAGAAATAACTTTCTTAACTACTTTCTTCCTGTCACACACAGGCAGAAAGTAGTGTTTTAGCAAAAATGCAAAAACCGAAAGAACTTTCAAGATTACTTTTTTAAGCTAATATAACTGATGTTGTAGTTTATACTTTTGTCATCCAAGTCTAGAAATGGCCAATTTCCACACTTGTAACAAAAGGCACTCTTGTCTTTAATTTCCCTTACGCTTCTATTTTATCGAGGTAGCAAACTAATTTAAACTCAAAATCTCTTTCTAAAAAAAAAAAAAAAAAAAAAACAACTGTTGGATACAACCTTCTCATAGCTCAACTTTAGATAAAACTCTGCATTCTTCGGTGAACTCTGTTCACGCCAAAAACAAACTAAAAAACAAAAACTCCTTTTTCTGTATGTAATTTAAACCGTGATCACTGAAATATTGTTGCTTCTTTACTTTTGTCATTTATCAAGCCTGGAATTGGTTAATTACAAAACTTTTTGTGACAAAAGGCCTCCTTTACACGTTTCCCTTTTTATTGCTTTTACTTTTACACCATGGTATCACTAAGGATCCAACACTTTTCTCTGGCTAGCAAGGGGCCTCTACCCCGGTAATTACTCAAAAAAGGGCCTCTACCCTGTAATTACTCTTTCTCTGCCCTGACTACTTCAAAGGACAGGGACCCCGATACGTCAAGGGGTTCTTTTTTCCTATAGGGACTGGTTACCCACACAGCGAACCTGTTTTCTACAACATAAGACATGACAAAGACGTGACAAAGACATAACAAAGAAAATTTGATTTAGAGAGATTTGGACAGACCTCCGGGACAGCTCAAAATTTAGCTAGTATCCAATTATGCAGACTTTACATATTAAAAAAGGTGTCTGCTTACCTTATTTTCTTTGTCCGGACTGTTCGAGAGGTCGACCAACACAAAACAGAAAGTGAGGGAGCAAGAGCAAGCCCATCCAAAAGCGAGCCCTTTCAGCGTCCGCTGGGATTTCTCCCC